TGTGTGCAGTCATCACCAGCCCACCACAAATCAAATAGTACCAAACACCTCCTCAAACCCATCCCCTCTCAGAGATATCCTCTGGACACCCTGTTGACAGGTTTGCATGCAAATGCACACGCCCCAAACACTATTTTTTTTTTATATAGTAGGATAGATAGGTCAAGAAATCCTAGTTAGTTTCCCACCTGCGTCGATTTTTTTACACTCTGTATATCGAAAACAGCGGGCGAGTATGTGTTTGGCCATCTGTCCGTGTTCGCAAGGCGATACCGCAAATCGTGCTTTGGGGGGGAGGCTTTGTTCCTCAAAACTGCATTTTAGAAAATAAATTGGCGACGTACAATACGTGATCGCGCGATACGTAAAAAGATATGAGGAGGTGGGATTGTATCATAATATCCCGGAGGGAGATGCTGGGATATAGTCATTCGGGGTCAGGTGGCGAGATGAGTCGTTATTGTGTTTGTTGGTGATAGCCGGCTTCGGGGTGGAGTCGGTGGCGGGGCTCCTGGCTGCGTCGGCGGTGGTGTTAAGGCGAGGTCGTCGAGACTTTCTGTTTCGAGCACCTCGGGTCCCCCGTCTCCTGAGCCCTCGGCCGCCTCCCGGTCACCGCGGCGCCCCGCGGAGGCTACAAAGGCACTGTCAACCAACCTCGACACATGAAACCAGATCAGACGGTTGTAATTTGCCAGGCGCAAGTCGTGCGCGATATGACTGAAAGAAACGTGAAGGAAGGGAGCGCGCTGCAAAACCCCCGAATTCTGTGCAAGAAATGAAAGCGCATTCTCTCCAGCATTATATAAGCTCTCCCACTGCCGGTATCTTCACTGAGTGATTCCTTGCTGAGAGTTGCGCGAGATTTTTACAAAAGCAGGTTTGCTCATCAGAAAACAGCTGATTTTAAAAACTCCTTATGCGTGCGATCATTGTACTTTTTCCTCTTTCGTGTACAGTCATTACGATCGTGCTTTGCCACTCATGACATAATATAAATAGCCTTAACTATGCTTTGTTGAGATACGACTGTTTTATGGGGACGGTTTATGCCACCAATCCACACACACCACACACGCTATTTTCTTTAACCTGGTGTCCCCCAAAAATCGACCCCCCCCCTCTCTTGGACCGCAGAAAGCCCGGATCGGAATGATTTTCACACCATTCCAGCCCTTTCAAACGGTGAGAAAACAAGCGCCTTTGGTTTTCCAAAAAATTTTAGCCTTCGCTCGATATTATTGATTTCTGTAAAAAGCGTAAAACCAGCATCGTCTGTTTGCTTTAGCAAGCAATTAACATACCGATTTTACTAAAATCTGCAGTTTTCATCGATTTTGGCCCTAAATTTAATGCGTTAAATTCCCATATTGAAAAACGAAAAGTGCTTGTTGTTTCGCCTTTTCGAGTACTTTCGATAGACCCCTAAATCGTCAAATCGGACATGACTGCGGCCCTCTAGAGGGAGGTCGACTTTTTCTGGCACACCCTCATATATTTAGAAGGATTCTTTTGAACTATAATTAAAACTCTGGGTATATTTTTGGATGCTCTATCGAATCGCATCTTTAATATGTCGAAAAAGTGGCATGAATGTCCGAAAACGTTCCGCTCAGCCCGATTTTCAAAGCTAGGCAGATTTTGTGCAGAATTTTTCGCTTGATTCCGAATCCGCTTCAATTTTTGCCAAATGGTTCGTCTTAAGATTCAGTTATTGAAATAATTGGAAAATCGAAAAATCGGCGATGCACGGTATGGACTTCGTTTTTGTATGGGAAATAGAGTGTTGTCGTGGTTAAATAATTATCTGAATTATGCGGGGTATTCGAGCCCGCTCAAATAAGTTATTTGAAGGCATCCCTGAGATTATTCCACATATCCGTTCCAGACTACGGGAACCACATCCGCTCCGATGCAAATATATTTGAACATATTCAAATAAAGCCGTGCTGAAAGCCTAACGAATTTTGAAAACCCAAGCCATTGATCAGGAAGGGCGTTTCTTGATCTTATGTAATATCACAGCGGACCATTTTCTCTAGGTGCTAAAAGGCCGAATGGTGCAAAATGTCGGTATTTTTTCGGTATTTCTCGATTTCCAGTTTTTCGGTGATCGGAACCAGCGGCAGACAACTAATGCGCTGAGTATCGGCGCGCTAAGCGCAATATACCAACGACGAGAATGCCGACTTGAAAATACCGACGTAGCTTAAATAGATGAGGACGGCATCTGTTGAACCTCCAAGGGGGTGCAACCGATGCGGCGGCGAGGAGAGGGCGCCCAGGAGAGAGGCGCAGAGACATTTTCTTTCCCGCGCGTAATCGATTGACGTATGCCGCCCCTGTCCCTTTAAATGCTGAAGCGCGAAAATGCCGACGAGAGGTTTTGTTTCGAAATGCGATACGACATCTATATCGGAAATCTTTGTGTCGGCATTTTTGTTGTCGATATTTTTAATGTCGGCATTCTGCAAAAACAGCATTGCAGGGCTGTGCGACATTTGGCGGGTGAGATTTTAGCTCAACCAGTCTCGAAATTTGACATTTCTTATTTGAATCAAAGATTTGACTCGGTTTTGCCAGAAGGAGAGCGATTTGACAAAGCTCGGTTTATTTGAATCTGTTCAAATATATTTGAATCGGGGGAATGGGCGGATGGGACTTTTTAAAAAAAACTGTGTAAGAAACGAACGAATGGATTCATCCAGCCGCCCCAGCCAGCTTTAAAGGAGCAGGTGGACCTTCGGCGAACGTCCCGAAAGACTTTCGATCCCTCGCCTCAGCCAGCCTAAAGTCGCCAAGTTTGTTTTTAGAGTAGCATGAGGTCGGCCCAAAATACATAGGACAGGTCCGTTAAATTGTTTTTCGGGAAAATAGCCGTGCGGGATTTTAATAACTTTTCGCAAGCAACGGCTGTGTTTCACCTAATCCTATACTGGCTTTTTTAAATACGATCGGACAGAGCGTGGCAAATTCAAGGCTTACAAAGCGAGTTACGTCAGGGTCTTTTCGGTCGTGCATAATCCCTAGCCAGTCCCTCTGATAAAAAGGACCAACCGTGCCTCCTTGAACTTTTCGAACATGAGGACGAGAATGACGAGCGTGGCGATGCCGACTAAAATTAAGAAATTCATTGCGAAAGCGGCTGAAGTTTTCCCCCCACGTTTTGCCCCCGGCCCCTGGCCGTAAAAATGGTGTAAAAACCTTGTAAGGCAAAATTTTCGTTAGTCTGGAAGCAATAGGTTCTTTTCTCTGGCGCTTCTGCCCACCCCGGCGCGACTCCTTTCATCATTTTCAACATTAAATTGAGGGTTGGGTTGGTCGAAACATCCATGAACATGCTAGGTTGCAATGTGCAGCTGTCAAAATATAGCCACCTATATAAATGGGTAAAGTAACCTTTCGCCGGATTTTGCAAAAAAATGTTTAACCTGCGCAGGTGACAATTCCTGCGATATTTGCGTAGTGGACCGGCTCGAGGCCATCGTCCTCTTCGGTCGCATTTCTGCCGGGTGCAGTCGTGATCCTTGTGGCTGTCATGTCGAAGTCGGGCTCGACGCAGAAGCCCTGCAAAAAAATGGTTATTAGACAGAGGTGGACAGAGCCTACCACATCCGCATCCTCAGCCGTGGCGCATGCCGTGGGCACGATTTGATACATGGCCTTGTGACCGTCGGAGGCGGCCTTGTAGTAGGGATTGGTGGCGCAATTCAGGAACATGTTGTCCTGAATCAGCCCAAGTTGATGCTCCTAAGAGATGAGATATAATCCTCGTTATACGACGAGCGTCGTACCGCCAGGCCAGCCGTGGCTTGGATGCACTTCTTCGGGTAGGCCGACCCGTTGGTTCCCTTCCAGTTCAGATCTGCGTTGTCCTTTTCCCGAGAGGAACGTCGCATACGGTGGTGACTGAAAATAAATGCTATTCCGTCCAAGACGGTTCCCACCTGTGATCGGAAGCCCTTGACAAACTTCTCGTTCTCCCGAACGTCCAGTGGGATGCATGCCTTGTCGGCAAAGTGGTGGTCCGTATAACGGCACCAATCCACAAACTTTGACGGGTCGGGGGCAGGCAGGAATGTGTCCTTATCCTCAAAGTCGTCCACGATGAAGTACCTGGAATAGTTGCTATATACAAGGTGTCCCAATAAAAAAGGTCACGCTGGCATTTTGCTATTTCAAATCTATCGACTTGAAATTTTGGGTTCTTTAGGATTTCCGGGGGGGGAAAGTATTTCCGGGGAAACCAAATTTTTTCGGCCCAAGCCTAAATTTTTTTCTAAATAGCGCATGCGTTTCTAAATGGTTTTTAACTAGTCCTCAGCATAAAAACTACCCACATTTTAATTAAAAAATTTAATTTTAGGTCGAAAAATCCTATAGAACCTTTAGGATTAGAGGGGGAAAGACCCAAAATGACTAAATTTTCGACTTTTTCAAACATTTTTCTAACTTTTTTGAAAGGTTTTTTCTACTTTTAAATATAGTTAAAATTTAATAAAAACAATGTGAAAACACTTTATATTTGATTACTAGGTCAACCGGGAAAACCAGGAAAAATTTGGTTTCCCCCGGAAATACTTCTCCCCCGAAATCCTGAAGAACCAAATTTGCACTGGGTGCGGAAGGGAATTCAAAATGTTCGAATTTTTTTAGTTCGCAAAATTCGGGTCAAGAAATAGGCTAGTTAAGTTATTTTTAACAAGGGCTAACGACGCCGATGTTAAGAAGAATAAGGGATTTAGAGCCGGAAATTTCTGTTAATTGATGCAAAGTCCAAAAAGTTAGCCGAAAAAATGAAGCTAAAGTGTGGGAAAAACAGTATTTTTACAATAACTCGAAAACTACTGTACCGATCGGGCTGAAAGTTTCTGTGAACATTTTAAATTCGCTTCCGCACCTTAGTGCAAAATTTCAAGTCGGTCGGATTCGAAATAGCAAAATGCCAGCGTGACCTTTTATTGGGACACCCTGGATAACGCTACAAATACAAGATTCTCCTACTGGTGGCTTTTGAGTGGTGGTGGAAGGCAGTCTTCCATTCCCAGCTGTTGCGGCATGCACCACTGAAAAAATATTGGTAAAAATGCAGTTACTACGCTGCGGGCCCCAAATCATACCTCGGCTTCCTGTCAGTCCACAGGTCGGTATAAAATTTTACATAGTTTTTTTAGTTGAAATGTATCTACCTAACTATATATTATAGTTAATAGTCTCTGTGTGCGTTTGCATGCAACTTCTGTAAGTATCTACGGCACTACAGCCTCACGAGGGAATGGTCTCTGCTCGGCCTCGAATTTCCGGGTTGAAAGTTAGCTGATCTTGTAGAGCTCGACGAGACGAATCGATTGATGTAACTTTTAGCTGCGGATACTATAGTAAAAAAAGTTACAGCCCTTTAAAGTTTTCCCCCGACCTTCATAAGCTCTCCCCACGCCCCCTCCACCGTGGTCTGGTGGCCTAGTGGTGTAGCAGTGCGCGGGTGGGGAATCTAACGAGCGTTCGGACCCGCTCACGATTTTATTTTTTGCTTTTTGGTCCAGAAGCCTCTTTTGCGTTCTGAAGGTCGTGAAGAACTTTTGATTCATCATTTCTGCACTAGGAAGTGCTCTCAACAAAAATGAGGCTTCGGCAAAAAAACCATTTTTTACCCCAGTGGTTGGTGCTCTAGCCCTAGAGGAAGAGTATTAAGGCATATGCGTCGTCAGGTTAGGTGAGTAACGGTCCCGAGATGAGTGCACACAGATGAGATTTTTCAAAATTAGCTATTTTTGCTGTTAAATTGAAGTTTTTGTAAAGATATCGATAAAGCCTCTTTGTTAGGAGACAATTTGCGTGCGGCGGAAGTGTGGCGAGCCCAAATAAAGAGGCAGACGGGGTATTCCTTGTTTTTGTTTTGTTATAGGAATTCGGGTAGAACTATGCAAAACGAAGACTATTAAGTGTCTTAAACGCAGACGTTTTTGAGTGACCTTCCGAGTGTCCCGGTGTTTGAGTGACGCTAGCTCATCCAATGGAGAAAAATGCTGAACAAGATGGCGTCTTTCCAAATCTGGTTAATCGCCCTTGTGCTCGAGAAAAATTAATTTAAACCAGGGTTGAAAAGCCGCTTCGCGACTTTTCCTAGCCATTTCCCTAGCCCCCATGCCGGCATGGCGACCCAGGTGCCCGAAAGAGCCTATGAGGTAGAGTGCGGCTTATTCAAATCAAATCGCGACTCAAACCGGTTTGATTTGAATAAGGGCGGTTTTAATAAGAAACTGCTTTTCAAATCAAACCGGTTTGGTTTGAATAAGGATCCGTTATTCAAACCAAACCGTCCAGGTTTGAGTTGGTTTGAATTGGTTTGAACAACAGGCAAATCAGCATGTTAATCTATCCGATGGATGCTAATCGGCTAAGATTTCGAGGCATCCGTCCAAAAACTTGCATGACCATTATAATGATGATATTGGCTTAGTTTACAGGGTTTTACACACTTTTAACCATAGGCTTGGCATTCACGACCGTTCACAATCATCCTCATGGTCGTGATAACCTTGGCAGGGCTGTCAGAAAAAACGTCTCGGGAATAGTCCGCCAACCCCTAAAACTTGTCAGGAATGCTGCCGAACGACCCTAAAGTGAACCACCGATAGATTGGTGCCAAAACGCAAAAATAGTGCAGAAAACAGGCTGTTTTGGAGAATGGTTCTTATTCAAACCTTGTTCAAATTATTCAGACCGGTTTGGTTTGGTTTGAGTTGGGAATCCTTATTCAAACCGGGTTTAGTTTGAATAAGGATCCCGTATTCCAATCAAACCGATTTAATTTGAACAACGGAAATCTTATTCAAACCCGGTTTGAATAAGCCGCACTCTACTATGAGGCCACTCCCCAGTAGGCAGTGATGGCGGACCAGGCGGAAAATAGCGTCAACTTTAGTTATTTTCAAATTAATTGTTCTTGAGCGCATCGGCGGTAAAGCAGTTTTGGAAGACGCCACCTTGTTCAGAATTTTTTTCTCTATCGGATGGGCTATCGTACCTATGAAACTGGGATGTCACTGAAAAACGTTTCCTTGTTGGCCGGGGCCAGGGTTCAAAAAGCCGCGAAGCGGTTTCACAGCGCCGGTTTTTCACTAAAATACTTTTAAAACTGTAAAATACTTTTACTAATAAAAATACTTGCTGTTAGGGCATTAGACGTGTCTAGACGTGTACAAAAATCTCAGTCCCCCCACCCGATAAAGAGTAGCTATACGGTACCTTGTAGCTTTTCCACTGCTCCGCGGCCGTTGGATTTGATGGGCGGATGTCTTCGTCAGCGAACATCGAGCGTCCCTTGATCAAATCGTCTTTGCCGAGACCAGCGTACTGGTGGAGACTCGGGATGCACGGGATCGTAGTTGGGCTGCGCGCATGTCCGTTCAGGATCCTGAAGTGACGAGTTACTTTAGTCACGGTGCTAGCATCTCACTCGGGAACAGTGAAACCAGCATCACATTGCACCACATACTCCAGCCCCAACGTCGGCGGCTTGTACTCAATCTGGGCTGTTAGACTAAAAATAAATAGTGCGTCGATCACGAAGAATCTGACGTTTTCGGGCATGTCTTTTCGCGAATCATCTGTCGGCTGCATAGGTTGTGGGGGAAGACCATCACATCCACTGAAAATTCAAAACATTGCCAGGTGGAAAGACCGGACCGGTCCCATCATCCGGCTTGCACGAACTGGACGGGCTTGATGCAATTCGGGTCCGTAGAACCCTTTTGCAATACAGCGGTCTCCGGGTCGCAGTCCATCGTCCAGCGTCCGGTTGCCTCATCAATCCCGAGGGCGGCTCCGACTTCACATTCCGGCGTACACTTGGGACACTGAAATCATTGGATTGCGGGACCTCGCTTGTCCCGAAGTCGAGAGACATCCCAGGTTTGCGGGAAACCTAACTCAACTAACCAAACCCATAGGTTTTAGGGTTCTTGAGGGCGTCCGGTCACTCCCCGAAAAGTCACTACCCCGAAAATCACTACCCGAAATCGTTTTACCGAAAAATGTTAGCATTGTTTTTCCCAGAAAAATTCCAGTTTTCATGATGTTTTCCTATGAAAATCATGCAAATTATTTCGGAACTGACTTGTGACTTTCAGGGTAGTGACTTTCCCGTTCTTGAGCATTCCGGGGGGAAGAATTCGCGGGGGGGGGGGGGAACCAATTTTTTTCCTGGCGGCCCTGGTGGGGGTAGTAATCAAATATTCAAATAATGAAATACTTCCACTATTTGGTAAGAGTCTAGGAAACCCCCCCAGCCGTAACTTTTCAGCCATACGTCCTATTAATGCGTGGAGTATCTCAAAATGTTCGCCGTGGTCGAATTACTATAGAAAAGTCGTTTACATACATCAAAAATTGTTAGAAAATTTTTTACAAGGTTTTGAAAGTTGAAAAGATTAAACCGCTATGCTTCGATGTACTAGGAGTCTAAAACTCAAATATTTTTATTTTCCGCTTTTTTTCAACTCAAACGTACGGTAGGCGTATTCTCCAGAGCAAGAGCTACATTTTGGTACTATTGACAGCTCTGTACGTCAAAAGATAGCCGAGATACGAAAACTCACTTTGGAACAGCAAAAATTAACTAAGGAAAACCTAGACTTATAATTGTTATAAAAATTTTTCTAACAATTTTTGGTGTATGGAAACAACTTTTCTATAGTAATTCGACCACGGCGAACATTTTGAGATACTCGGCGCATTAATGGGACGCATGGCTGAAAAGTTGTGGCTGGGGGGGGGTTTCCTAGACTTGAGCCCACTATTTATATAAAAAATCTAGACTTGAGTCGAAAAAAAGTTCGGTCCCCCCCGCGAATTCTTCCCCCCCCCGCCTAGGGAATACTCAAGAACCGGTTTTCGGTAGTTGGGGGGGTCACTACGAGTAAGACTCTAGTTTTCAAGTTGTAAAAATCATATGGGGGGATGCTTATGTTTTTTCGGGCCCGCCGGAGCCGACACTTTCGCATGAGTCTCACATCCAAAGTCATAATCGGTTTCATGCGCGCGAGTCGAGTGTGACCCGGTAGGTCCATAATGATTTCATTCGCATAGCAGACGAAAGGCACGTTCTTCTCGCACTGAAAAAGATGTTGTCCGTTGGCAACAAAACAATGCAGACCCCAGGCTCGCCGGTGTGCGCAGGGCCGGCCGATGAAGGATTTCTGGAAAGGTTAGAGTGTAGTCTACCCCCGCCCCCAACTGGCGCCCCATTGTATCTCGAATCCCCGATTGTCTACAGGTGTGTAAAGTATACCAAAATGTTCCACTTGCTCCGGCTAGTATTTTGATATACTTTACTCGCGGTACGATCATGGGGAGCCGAGCTACGGTAGGCGCGGGTGAGCTGAGGGGGGTATCTGGAGTTAAAAAACCATAAAACTTAAAACCTTTAAAAAATAATGAAATGTTCGAAAATTCTGGACTTTTTTCGTCAAAATTGTATAAAAAATGACCAAGACGGTCAACATTTTTGAAGTTTCCAAAGTTTTTAACAATTCGGATTTTGGTACTCTTCGGAACGTAAATTCGGAACTCTCTATGCTTGAAAAAGGCACAAAAACTAATATAACTGGCGTGAAAAATGATTTCAATTCCGTATCAAACTAGACCGTACTCCTGGGGTAGGGCGCCGACGGTGGTGATGAACACGAGCGATCCGATGAAGATGATCATCAGCAACAGGCGCTGTGGCGACGACGGGTGGCCGAACATCAGAATGGACGGCTGGGGTGAGACGGAATGAGTTCGTCGAGTTCCGGTTTGCATTTATTTGCGAAAACTCTTACAAAATAGGTAGCGTTTCCGGCACGGAAATTTACAAATACAAATTCAAAGTACAAAAAGTCGCTTGTCCTAAAAATCATCTGCCCCATATTTTCAAAACTCTCATCTCTTTGTCTCGCTCTCCCTCTCACTCTCTTTCTTTATCTCGCTCTCTCTCTCTATATCTCGCTCCCTCTCTCACGCTCTCTCTCCCCTCCCACCCCTCTCTCTCTCTCTCGCTCTCTCTCTCTCTCTCTCTCTCTCTCTCTCTCGCTCTCTGCATCTCTAGCTCTATCACCTCTGTCTGATCGGTGCCAATCGGAATTGGTGGCGCCTCTGTTGTTGGGGTCGTTTGTTCCTTATGAAAAGGTGTGGAAATTCCCTAAAAGCGAGTCTTTGCCGATTATAAACTTGCTAAGTCAAAATCGTCAAATATCCCATCATCCTCACTCTGGTGGAATTGCTGAAATCAAAGAAATCCTACTATCCTACTATATATTAAAAACTATGTGTGTGTGTGTGTGTCTGTGTAGATTTGCATCCACTTCCGGATGTATGTTCCGTCGCTCGAAAGTTTATTTCTGTACAGCCGATTTCTCGGCCGTCAGGCCGAATTTCGAGCTGATTTTTGTTTAAGAAAATCCTTCATTTAACGATTTTATAAGCAAAAAAAAGTAAAAATTCCTTAACAAAATGGGTTTCTGCCGCGTTGTCCGGAAGTTTTCTCAGCGCCTAGAGGGAATTGGGGCCTCATTTTTGGAGGGTAGCTGGGAAAAGTAGTTCCCCAGATTTATTTTTCGGATTTTGCAAAATTTTTTAAAATAAAGTTTTTATAAGGATTTTCTGGAAGGTCCTTAATAAATCGTGTCACGGGCGGTGGTGTCCAGGGGATATCTCAATACTATACTTCATCGTCCCCCCGGGGGGGATCCCCCCACAAGGGGGGACCAGGGGGGGACCGCAAGGGGGGGATGGTGGGGGGACCCAGGGGGGGACGGTGGGGGGATGGGGAGGGGATCCCCCTCCCCCTCTCCCCCCCCTCCCCTCCCCCCCCGCCCCAGTTTTTCTGGCACCCGTATTGCGTAGTCGGGAAAACTAAATCGAACCTTCTAGTTGGACACAAACGTTTTTTGGATAGTCTGATGTTTTGATGTTTAGATTAAGTTTTTTACTTTTTAAAATTAATGACGAATTCGAAAATTCTGGTTTAGCCCGCCCGACAAAACAGATACTAGAAAGCTCTGATTTACCTGAGAGAGAATCGATGGAAAATCAGAGTGTATACCAACCCAAAATTTTAAATAATTGAAGGCTGGGCACTCAAATCTTTGAGACTGTAAAAATTTAAAAATTAGGGCAAAATTAGCTCGTTGGGGCTCTCGGCATTTCAGAACTTTCGACAACCACATGCTGCTGTATTTTAAATTATCAAAAATAGCAGCTCTTTAACAAGTATTGAGATCTATCTAACCACACATTCGCGCACTTGCGAGTCGGGGGGATCCCCCAGTGGTCCCCCCCACCGTCCCCCCCTGGGTCCCCCCACCATCCCCCCTTTGCAGTCCCCCCCTGGTCCCCCCTCGTGGGGGGATCCCCCCGGGGGGACGACGAGTATACTCAATACACATCGCGATTTTGGACCTGTATTTTTGACCACTTATGCATTCAATGGCGAGGATCACGCGCATTTGACAAAATTCGACCAGGCGCTAGCTAGCGCCGCAGGCTCAAAGATTAGCGCTACGCTGGCTCTGGCGCGGCAGGCCAAGAATGGTCTGACTCAGGTTATGCCGCAGGCTAAAAAGAAGCTATTCAAATTCATGGTTCCTGGACGGGGTCCAGTGGAAAAAGGCCGCGAAGCGGTCTTTCCCACTGGTTCAGGATAAACAGCACGCGTCTCCCGGATCTGAGTTGATAAGGGAAAACACGGCCCTATTTTGGAACCGATTTTCCAAGGCCCGAGCAAGGCATGGCCGTGGGTTTTTCTCGGCTGTGGATTCCCTAGAAATTTAGCAGCGCGACACAGAGTGGCCTAAAACTTTCCCTGTCGAGCCAGGTTGGCCTGGTAACAGAAAATAACGTTTTTTGGCTATTTTTAGGGAAGATCTTTCGCATTATTGGGCGGGGAGATCATTATCCCTAAAAATACAAAAAATTCGAACAGAAATGGCTGGTTTCTACTTAAATTTTTGCTCGGTTTTTATGGTTTTTCCAATTAAAATCCAGATACATTTTGCTAAAAACATAATTAAAATGCGTAGTTTTGCGATACTAGGCATTTCACGGGTCAGGATTGCCTAATTAGGTTAGGGGAAAGTTGGCTGGAAAACTCGAGAGGGGCGGGGAGCGGCTCCGGGGGTTACGGTGGAAAGGGCGCGCCATAGCAATACCGGAGCGGTCGTCTGTGCGGATCCCGACCCGTGGCATTTCTGGGCTTATAGAAAAATATGGGTCCCCCCAAAAGTGCGAAAGAACCTTTAGTAAAGCTATATTTTAAATGGAAGCACTATCAAAAAGCTTAGAAAATGCTGAAAAAGTTCAAAAGTGATTTTGGGTAGACAAAAAAAATCAATGTTGCCACCCAAAACCAAATTTTTCATAAAATTTGCAAAGTTTTGATTCTCTGGAACGGCTGAAAATCATGTACCAACTTTTCTGTGTGCTGTCTGTAAGGAGCAAAAGCTGAAAACATGCAAAGCGCAAAAATTAGAAAGTGTAATTTGCATTCTCCGACGGAAGCTGGGTGAAATTTGCATATTTAGCCCCACCCATAGGCAAAATCCAGAGCTGTGAGAATCACTTTTGCTCTCCATCCAGCTGATGTTCGGTCGTCGACACAACA